AACAGAAACAAAGAAAAATGTTTTTTTTCAAAATTTTTGGTCTTTTTTTGTTAATTTAGCAAAAAATAAAAACCCCAGCGGTGATTAAATACCACCAAAAGAAAGCTCTAGTTTTGTGAAGAAAATTATAAAATTTTAGTTTGGGTACAGTGTTGTATGACCGCAATTGTCATTCAAAGTGTGAGAGCGCTGAAACCTGAAAACTGGCCTGGGCAGGAAGGGGGTAAAATGCCCGGTATTGAAATGGTTAAAGGTCAGCAGATACAGTTTTTGTAGCTGCTGACATTTATTTATTTTTTTCAGCTGGAACTCCGCAGTAATGTAATTGTCAGTAGAAGCCTTTGACAGGAAATGCTTGTAATTATACTTCAGGGTACCACAGTAACATCTGACAAGATCTACAAACACGGACACAGCAGACTTTGTGAAAACTAATATTGTTGTGTCATTCTCAGAACGTTTGGCCAGGGCTGTATAACATTGGTCTGGACTGGAGGTGGTTAACAGAAACTGAATGGAAGTAGGATCATGGGAACAAAAGTCTGGTCATTGGAGAGTTAACAAATGATTCTTTCCCGCCCTGCAGCCACCTGCTCTCCTCTAACCAATTAGAGAACGGGACCGGCCAACTAGGCGCTTCTTATTGGTCAGTCGCGATGTTTAGGGGCGTTACTTCCGGACCTGACCTCATCCAGCCGGGTTGGAGTTTGTATTCGAAAACAAAGTGGACGGTACTGCTGGCTGTGCTTCGTCATTGGTCGGGCGCCCTGCTGTGTCCGGGTCGGGCTGCTCCCTGTCGTAGTGTACGGCTCTCCTCCATAGCCGGCTGGAGCTCCTGTCATGAGAGGGAGGATAGAGCAGCCTGTTGCTGTGGTGATGGAGGCAGTGTGTGCCTAGGTGGCAGTGTCTGTAGATTGCTGATGGTGTCTGGGGGATCTCTGCGTGTCTAATGTCTCCTGGAGATGGCATCTGCTGCCCAGGGAGATCTGAGGGGCTTCCGTGCCAAGGAAGGGGCTGAGCGGCGCAGACTTCGAGATCTCCTGTGTGACCAGCTCAGCAGAGATGTGCTCAGGTAATGTGCACATACATTGTTCTATGGACCTGGTGTCTGCAGAGTGCCGGACACAGCTCAGCCTCTGCTGGCATTGCAGTCTTCAGGCATAGGGCTCATGGACACATCTGGGTGTTCAGCGTATGTCTGCACTTTGCATCCCATGTGACACAATCAATGACAGGCTGTCAGGCTCTGCACTTGTGATTGGCTGGCAATAGGGACAGATGAGTGTCACTACAGCATCTGCCAGCCTGTCATTGATCTGTACATGTGCAAGGCACAGAAATAGGCCTCTTGTACATGGGCCTCATCTCAGGCCTGGCTCCTGACTTTTCCAGAAGGTGCAGGTGATTATTACAGGCACTTATATAGCAAAATCAGTTTACTCAGCACTTTACATATATATTGTACATTCACATCAGTCCCTAACCCTCAAGGGGCGTACAATCTAAAGTCCCTAACTTACATTCACACATACACATACCAGGACCAATTTAGACAGGAGCCAATTAACCTACCATCATGTCTTTGGAGTGTGGGAGGAAACCAGAGTACCCGGAGGAAACCTACACAGGCACAGAGAGAACATGCAAACTCCAGGCAGGTGGTGCCGTGATTGGGGTTCAAACCAACGACCCTAGTACTGCCAGGCAGAAGTGTTAACCATTTAGCCACTGTGGTGATGTCACTGCTTCTCTTGACACTTGAGATCCCACATGAATTCAGGAATGCAATGGGTTGAGAAGCTTTCTCTCAGAATTCTAAGCACCCAGCTGTCCCAGGAGGCAGTGCTGAGACATCACCCTTGCCTCCTGGGATCATTAGCCATTGGGATTTTATTTCTCTTAATATTGTTTGGGCAATAGAAAAGCTGACCTACCCTCCCCCCCTATAATAGTGCACTATACCCACTTGCCCTCCAGAGGATTTACCCCCCTTCCTGGCCAGGCCATTTTTTGCGATACAGTGCTGTTACTTCAACTGACAATTGCAACACTGCACCCAAATGAAATCTGGCTTTTTTTTTCTTTTCTTTTTTTTTTTTATTTTGTACCACAAATAGAGCTTTCTTTCAGTGATATTTGAACATCTCTGCGTTTATTTTTGCGCTATAAACAAAAAAAAACTGACAATTTTGAAAAAAAAAATATTTCTGACTCTTTGCTATAAAGCATATCCAGTCAAAAAAATGTTAAAAATCAAATTTAGTCATAAATTTAGGCCAAAATGTATTCTGCTACATGTATATGCTTAAAAAAAAAAACAAAATCCCAATACGTGTAAATTATTGGTTTACATGAAAGTTATTGCATCTACAAATGGCTGTATATATACTGGAATTTTTTTTTTATACTAGTAATGGTGGCGATCAGCGACTTATAGCGGGTATTCTGACACTAACTGCCACTGACATCCCCACTGACACTAATACAGTGATCAGTGCTAATAAAAAGCACTGACACTGTACTAATGACACTGGACAGGAAGGGGTTAACATCTGGGTTGATCAAAGGGTTAACTGTGTGCTGTCTTACTATGTGTACTGTGAGTGATTTACTGTGTAAGCAGCTGCTTTGTATTGCTCTGCTATGCAAAGCAAAACAAAGCAGCATGCTGGAGCTGACAGGGGAGAGTCTGTATTGTTTACATATAGACCTCTCCCCTGTCAGTGTTCTTTGGCGATCACTGGGTGCAGGCTGGGAATCTCCAGCCGGGACCCAGTTATCGATATCCGTAGCCACCAATGGCGGCGTGGGTAGGGCGGTGCACACACCCCCTACCTGGAAATGGAAAATCATGTGTATATATACGCGATTTTCCGCAGCCCTGCTGCCCTGTAGCAGTATTTGTGCTATAAGGTGGCGGGAAAGCGGTTAAAGTGTGACTGTCCTATGAACAAAACGAACTCTGGTCCATCATCCCCACACTCATTAACCACAAGCCTACCGGGCACTTATACCCCCTTCCTGCCCAGGCCAATTTCCAGCTTTCAGCGCTGTCACACTTTGACAATTGTGCGGTCAAACAACACTGTACCCATATGAAATTTTTATCATTTTTTTGTGACAGAGCTTTATTTTGGTTGTATTTAATCACCTCTGGGTTTTTTATTTTTTCTTAAACCAAAAACCACTGAACAATTTGAAAAAAAAATGTTTTTTCTTAGTTTTTGTTATAAATATTGTAAATAAGTGATTTTTCTCCTTCACTGATGTGCGTTAATGAGGCTGCACTGATGGGCACTGATGAGGAGGCACTGGTAGGTGGCACTGATGGGCATTGACAGGCATCACTGATGGGCACTGAAGGCAGCACTGATACATGGCATTGTTAGGCGGCACTGACTGGCACTGATAGGTGGCAGTGATTGGCAGCACTGATAGGTGGCAGTGATTGGCAGCACTGATTGGCATTGATAGGTGGCACTGACTGGCACTGATGGGTGACACTGAAAGGCAGCTCAGATGGGCACTGATATGTGGCATTGATGTGCACTGATATGTGGCACTGATGGACACTGACAGGTGGCACTGCTGGGGCTACATTGATCATCAGGGCACACTGATCATCAGTGCCCTGATGATCAGTGTACATGTCCCCTCTGCCGAAAGCCGATTACCAGCTCTCCTCTCCTCTCGAGCTGTCAGCTTGACAGCTCGAGAGGAGAGAAAATGCCAATAACCGGCATTTCCCTGTTTATATGTGATCAGCTGTGATTGGACACAGCTGATCACATGACCGAGCCGACATCTTTGGCTCTTTCAGTGATCCGCGGTGTCCGAGGGACACAGCGCATCGCCACGCTGCATGCTCCCTGCACGCTCCTCTCAGAACGAGAAAACCACCTTGCGCCCGTCCTATTACTATATGGCGGGCGGGACGTGGTTAAAGTATATGTAAACTCTCACCTTGTAAAACAACTTTATTCTATTTAGGCCGAGGTTCAAACTAGGAACCAAATGTGAATCGCACTGCATTCCTGTGCAATTCACAATTGATTTTTGCGTGGCGATTTGAGCCCATTCATTTGAATGACTCAAATTGCACCAAAAAGGTGCCTGCAGAATTTTTGGGAACGCACTATAACACATGATATAAAATGACCATGCGATCCGCTTCCAGTGTGTTCCCAAAAACCTCCATGGTGTGAATGCAGTGCGATTTGATTTTGGCTCAGGCAAGCACTGCATTTGGGGTATCCTTTAACTTTGAATTGATACCTGCAGCAGATTGCAAAACACAGTGCATTTGCAGTGCGGTGCAGGAAACGCATGGGTTTCACAGTATTTTCCGCACCACTAGTGTGAACCTAGGGCTAAAATAAATAAGTGAAAGGCAAAATATTTGTGTATAGAAACAAAAAGCATTATAAATTCCTTTTTTCACACTCCTTTATAAGTGATCAGATACCCTCTAAGCTCCTTAGGCAGCTGAAAACTGAGTGCTGGGAAAGGAGCAACAGCAGTGCACTGAATTTACCAGTGAAAGACTGCAGGGGGGCATGTGAGCACAAGTCTTATCATTGAAGGAGAGCACACTATGTTCCCAGTACAGCTAGAAAACTGACCATGCTGTGCTCTCATGCCTAGTGCAGTCAGTTTTTAACGGAAAGCAGAGGGACTGGCAGGAATACCAAAGATTTCACACAAAGGAAGCAATACAAAGAGAACCGGATACTATTTCATACAAATACATGGTACAGCAGCCATATATCAGAAATATACAATATTGGGTTTACATATCCTTTACCCACCTCCCCCGCCTGCCATATAGTACAATGACGGGTGCAAGGCGGTTCCCTTGTTCTGGGAGGACGTCATATGACGTCCTCCCATTCTAACCGTGCATGCACGGCTCCGGGAGCGTGCGGCGATCGGCGGTGCGCTGTGTCCCTTAGACACAGCGGATCAACGGAAACAGCCGAAGATGTTGGCTCGGTCATATGATCAGCTGTGTCCAATCACAGCTGATCACATGTAAACAGGGAAATGCCGGTTATCGGCATTTCTCTCCTCGCGAGCTGTCACACTGACAGCTCGAGACGAGAGCAGAGCCGGTAATCGGCATTCCTCGAAGGGGACATGTACACAGATCATCAGAGCACTGCTGATCAGTGTGCCCTGATGATCTGTGTAGCCACAGCAGTGCCACCTGCCAGTGTCCATCAGTGCCAGCTGTCAGTGCCTATCAGTGCCGCCTATCAGTGCCACCTATCAATGCCTATCAGTGCCGCCTATCGGTGCCATATGAGTGCTGCCTTTCAGTGCCCATCAGTGATGCCTGTCAGTGCCAACTACCAGTGCCTCCTCATAAGTGCCACCTATCAGTGCAGCCTATCAGTGCCCATCACTGAAGCCTCATTAGTGCACATCAGTGAAGGAGAAAAATCCCTTATTTACAAAAATTTATAACAAAAACTAAGAAAAAACATTTTTTTTTTTTTTTTTTTTTCACAATTTTCAGTTGTTTTTGGTTTAGGAAAAAATAAAAAACCCAGAGGTGATTAAATACCACCAAAAGAAAGCTCTACCTGTCACAAAAAAATTATAAAAATGTCAAATGGGTACAGTGTTGCATGCCTGTGCAATTGTCATTCAAAGTGTGACAGCGCTGAAATCTGGAAATTGGACTGGGCAGGAAGGGGGTATAAGTGCCCAGTAGGCTAGTGGTTAAATAAAGGCACAGAGCTTGGATGCATTGTGGATGGACCAATGTTCCCAGTCTATCAGGCAGGTGGTTCTCCCATTCAAATAACTGGGCTCTACCATTAATGGGAATGTAAACCTTTAATAGGTCTCTTTTATGACACTGTTATTTTTTCTTCGGAGTGTGGCAGCTAATGAGTCAGCAACTCTCAGACTTCAATTGACCTCTGATCACTTGTACTGGAGTTGTCAAGCAACAGCAAAGTAATAGATAAATAAGAGGAACCTTTACATTTTTCATGTGTAAGCTTTAACGGTTACAATAATTTAGACATTAATAATTAAACTATTGCTTAAACTCAGTTGTTTCCAGTTCTGATTAATATTTGATGGAATGGAGTCTTTTAGACTATTTCATCACTTTAGATTACTCCATCGTACACTCAATATAGATAGCTGTTGATAAAAACAATTTTAGATGTGGTCAGGAGTTTTCCATATTTGTGTCATTTGTTAAACTGTGTGACAGGCCTTTTGAACGGTGCAAACACCTCCCTCTCCTCATCTCATAAAATAGGGGGATGCGTTTTGTAGTTCAGCGTGTTTCAGATTTTAGAACAACAGAGTTACAACTCACTAGATTTCTGGCAGGATTAACTGTGTTTGGTTTTTTTGTTTTTCATTTATTGAACAAATATAACAAAATGCTTTCAATGGTAGAAGAAATTACAAAGTTTGTTAATATTTATGTCCACATTCACTAACCTGTTATATTTCTACAGACTTTTAAATGAAGAAATCCACCCAGATCTCACTCTGCATGTTGGGCAAACAACATTTAAAGTGCACAAGGCTGTTCTCTGGGCAAGAACTCCAAAATTCTATAGGTATATTATACAAAAGGCCACAGAAGACACACTTGCCGTGCAGCATGTGGAGCCAACTGAAATAAAGGGATTTTTAAAGTAAGTTGCTCAGTGTCAGATTGTTGAATTACTCTGTAAAAAGTATATACAGTGGATGCATACTCTATGCAAGTAAAGTGGAACTTTAGTCAGAAAATAAAGTCCTGCTAGATCACTTTAGCTTGGCTCCTTTTGCAGGTATAGTTATGTAAAACATTTAAAATAAGTGCCTAAACTGTTTAAAATCCAGTAATATTCTCTCACCCTGTGCTGCACATGCTCAGTTGCTTTTTTCTTTTTTTTTTTTTTTTTTGGCACTGCTGAAAATGTAGACTCTGATCTGCTGACAGCCTAAATATTTACTGCTGCTCAGAGGTTCTAGGCTTCAGCAAAATGTCAGCCTCCAGCAAGAAACAGGAGCAATGATTGAGCCAATTTACAGCACACAGTACGTTTGGTAGCTTAATTATTAATTTGAAATGTATGTTCCTTGCCAAAGAACATTATTTTTTTACCAGGTTGTTATGGGTAAAGTTCCACTTTAAAGCAGAACTTCAGGGAAGCAGTTGAAACCAGCATATGGAGGCTGTATCCCTAAATAATGGATATACATTTGTCCATCCAGTTTTTAGATATACACAGTTGTGCCAGACAGCAAAGCTAAATTGATGACCTGACATTCCTCATCTGCAGTTATTGCACACCAACCATGTATGTACAAAATACCTGATAGGCTGTGTGCTGTGCTGGAGAAGTATCAGGTTCTTTGTACATCAAATGCCAACATAGGCCTTGCTGCCCTCCAAAGGTTGGGGGAAACATAGAAGAGTCACTGTAAAACAAGGGGGGAAACAGGGCACACCAACCTCGTGCATTACCTGAGCAGTAACTTTAAGTTAAAAGTGTACAGTTAGGTCCATATATATTTGGACACAGGCACAATTTTAGTTTTTCTTTTTATGTATTTACCAAAACATATTCAAGCTATAGTTCTATAATGGATATGGGCTAAAAGTGCACACTCTCAGGTTTAATTTAAGGGTATGTACATCCAAATTGGAGGAAGGGTTTAGGAATTGCAGCTCTTAAGAGTAGCTATCCCCCCTTTTTCAAGGGACCAAAAGTAATTGGACTATTGAATATAATCATAAAATGTTCATTTTTAATATTTTGTTGAGAATCCTTTTACTGGCAATGACTGCCTGAAGTATAGAACCCATGGACATTACCAAAGACTGGGTTTCCTCCTTTCTGATGCTTTGCCAGGCTCTAACTGCAGCTGTCTTCAGTTGTTCTTTGTCTGTGGGTCTTTCTGCCTTTTTAGTTTTGCCTTCAGCACGTGAAATGCATGCTCAATTTGGTTGAGATCAGGTGATTGACTCGACCATTGCAGAATATTCCACTTCTTTTCCTTCAAAAGCTCCTGGGTTGCTTTTGCAGTGTATTTTGGATCATTGGCCATCTGTGCTGTGAAGCACTGTCCAATCAACTTTGCTGCTATTGGCTGAATCTGGGCTGACAGTATATCTCTAAACACTGCAGAGTTCATCCGGCTGCTTCTGTCTTCTGTCACATCATCATAAACACCAATGACCTAGTGCCACTGGAAGCCATGCAAGCCCATGTCATCACACTGCCTCCACCATGTTTTACAGATGACGTTGTGTTCTTTGGATCATGAGCTGTTCCAAGCCTTCTCCACACTTATTTTTCTTCCCATCATTCTGGTACAGATTAATCTTAGTTTCATCCGTCCAAAGAATGCTTTTCTAGTCTGGCTTTTTTAGATGTCTTTTGGCAAAGTCTAATCTGGCTTTTCTATTCTTCAGGCTTATGAATGGTTTGCACCTTGTGGTGAACCCTCTGTATTTGCTCTTGTGAAGTCTTCTCTTGATTGTAGACTTTGACAATGAAACACCCACCTCCTGGAGAGTGTCCTTCACTTGTCTGGATGTTCTGAATGGGTTTTTCTTTACCATAGAGAGTATCCTGCGACCATCCACCACTGTTGTCTTCCGTGGACATCCATGCCTTTTTTATGTTGCTGAGCACACCAGTGCATTCTTATTTCCTCAGAATGTACCAAACTGTTGATTGGGCCACTCCTAATGTTGCTGCTATCTCTCTGATGGATTTGTTTCATTTTTGAAGCCTTACAATGGCCTGTTTCACTTGCATGAACAGCTCCTTTGAATGCATGATATACAGTGCATCTAGAAAGTCCTCGAGTCATTTGAAGTATGATGCTACAAGCTTGGCACACTTATTTTTGGGCAATTTCTCCCATTCTTTGCAGTACCCCTCCAGCTCCATCAGGTTGGATGGGATCGTTGGTGCACAGCCATTTTCAGATCTCTCCAGAGATGTTCAATCGAGTTCAAGTCTGGACTCTGGTTGGAGGACATTCACAGAGTTGGCCCATAGCCACTTCTTTGTTATGTGGGCTGTGTGCTTAGGGTTGTTGTCCTGTTGAAAGATGAACCGTCGCTCCAGTCTAAGTTCCAGAGCGCTCTGGAACAGGTTTTCATCAAAGATATCTCTGTACATTGCTGCACTCATCTTTCCTTCGATCCGGACTAGTCTCCCAGTTCCTGCCTCTGAAAAAACATCCCCTCAGTATGATGCTGCCACCACCATGCTTCACTGTAGGTATGGTATTGGCTAGGTGGTGAGCGGTGCCTGGTTTCCTCCAGACATGACGCTTGGCATTCAGGCCAAAGAGTTCAACCTTTGTTTCATCAGACCAGACAGTTTTTTGTTCCTCATGGTCTGAGAGTCCCTCGGGTGCCTTTTGGCAACTCCATGCGGGCTGCTATTTGCCTTTTACTGAGGAGTGGCTTCCATCTGGCCACTCTACCATACAGGCCTGATTTGTGGAGTGCTGCAGAGATGGTTGTCCTTCTGGAAGGTTCTCCTCTCTCAACAAAGAAACTCTGGATCTCTTTCAGAGTGACCATCAGGTGCTTTGTTACCTCTCTGGCTAAGGTCCTTCTCCCTGGATTGCTCATTTTAGCCAGGCGGCCAGCTCTAGGAAGATTCCTGGTGGTTCCATTTGCGGATGATGGAAGCCACTGTGCTCTTTGGGACGTTCAATGCTGCAGAAATTTTTCTGAACCCTTCCCCAGATCTGTGCCTTGATACAATCCTGTCTCGGAGGTCTACGGAAAATTCATTGGACTAAATGGCTTGGTTTGAGCTGTGGGACCTTTTTTATATAGACAAGTTTATGCCTTTCCTAATCATGTCCAATCAACTGAATTTCCCACAGGTGGACTCCAATCAAGTTGTGGAAACATCTCAAGGATGATCAGTGGAAACAGAATGCACCAGCGCTAAATTTTGAGTGTCATGGCAAAGGCAAAGATTTCAAAACTTCTTTCACGTTGTCATTATGGGGTATTGTTTGTAGAATGTTGAGGGGAAAAAAATGAATTTAATCCATTTTGTAATAAGGCTGTAACAAAATGTGGCAAAACGTAAGTGTTGTGAATACTTTCTGGATGCACTGTAGGTTCACAGCAATAGATTCCAAATGCAAATGCCACACTTCGAATCAACTCCAGACCTTTTACTTGCTTAATTGATGAAGAAATAACAGAGCAGCCCATACCTGGCCATGAAACAGCTTTTGATTCAGTTGTCCAATTACTTTTGGTCCCTTGAAAAAAGGGGGAATGGCTACTCTTAAGAGCTGTAATTCCTAAACCCTTCCTCCAATTTGCATGTACATACCCTCAAATTAAACCTGAGAGTGTGCACTTTCAGCCCATATCCATTATATAACTATAGTTTGAATATGTTTTGGTAAATACCTGGAAAAAAACTAAAAAATTGTGCCTGTGTCCAAATATATACCTAACTGTATGTATATACTTGCAAACAACTGTGGTAACAAAAGTGTATCAAGATCCAAAGCAACCTAATCAGCTCCCAAACATGGCTGAACCCTCCAGATACTGACGCGTTTCAAGAGGTGATTGCCTCTTCCTCAGAGCCACTGAGAGAGTGGTCACTTTGGATCTTGATATGCTTTTGACTTAAAGTTACTTCTCAGGTAATGCACTAGGCTGGTGCACCCTCTTTTCCCTTGTTTTACAATAACTCATTGGCAGACTGGGCTTGCAATGTAATGTCATTCAGTTTGTGTGGGTTTAGGCAACGGAGGACTGACAAGTCACGCTGAGGTGATTAAAGAGGGCTTATCACAAGACTGTATTGAAGACTTCTGGAACTAGGGATGTGTTCTGAGATTTATTGTTTTTATAAAGCTATCAAGCGAGTATGTACTGGGAGCAGCAAAAGAGATTAACCAATTAAAATAAACTTGGCTTGCCTTTTTATGCTGACCTTCTGCAAACATTTCTGGTGGTGGTGAGTGCACATACAAACTTAGTGACTCAAAGCATTGGATTGAGGGTCTGCATGATTGTCAGGCAAGGGCAGGATTCATGTTTCTGTTATGATCAGTATTCTTTAAAGTGGTTGTAAAGACAGTAGGGTGGGTTTTTTTTTTTTTTTTTTTTTTACTTTAAGGTATTCTCTGCATTAAGGAAAAAAAACCTTCTGCATGCAGCTCTATCTTCTCCCCCCACCTTATACTTATCTGAGGCTGACCTCAATCCAGCGACGTGCATGAGAGCAGCGGCTCTCTCCCTGCTCATTTACTCAGAGACAGCAGTGGGAGCCATTTGCTGCTGTCAATCACAGTCAGTGAGGAGAGAGTGGAGGCGAGCCCGCACAAAGGCCCCTATAGCGAGCAGCTTGCTATGGGGGCACTCGACGGGGAGGACAGGCCAGGAGCGCTGGCGGGGAACCTGAGAAATGGAGGTTCGGGGCTGCTCTGTACAAAACCATTGCACAGAACAAGTAAATATGAATATGACATGTTTGTTATTTTAATTTATAAAAAAAAAAAGAGCATTTAGGATCATTATAAGTTTTTATGGTTTATGATATCCATATTGCAATATATCCATTTTTGCATGTTAATATCTCGCATTCTTTCAGATCAGTCACAGTAGAAGAACTTGGGAACATAGTTATTTCATTCTTTCACCCTTTTTGTTTGTATTTTTTTTTTTTTAAGGCTTGTGTACTGCTCCCTCTGGAGTGTTAAGGAGACAGAAGACCATATTCTTGATATAATAAAGGGACAGTCTATTTCAGATCACGATCACAATGATGATGAATGCACTAACCTGCAGTGCAGTTTACCTTCTACTGAAGAAAGCACAAAGTTTCCCATCAACAAATCTCCAGAGCAAAATACCCCCTCTGAGGAGAACCACAACTGTGAAGGTAAGCTGTCGACTCGAAACATGGCTGTGTTTTAAATCTTTTAATTGCTTATGTGGTCTCCTTATTGATCACTGTTGCTGGATTTTTTTTTTTTTTTTTTCTATCCTGTAAGCTTATGTTCTCTATTACATTGTTACATAGTATGGCTGAAAAAAGACAAAAGTCCATCCAGTTCAACCATTTAAAAAAAAAAAAAAAAGTTATAATCCTATACCCACAGCTGATCCAGAGGAAGGCAAAAAAAAAAACCCAGCAAAGAATGATCCGATTTGCTCCTGTAGGGAAAAAAATTCCTTCCTGATCCCCCAAGAGGCAATCTGATATTCCCTGGATCAACTTTACCTATAAATGTTAGTATTCAGTTATATCCTGTGTATCTAAGAAAGAATCCAGGCCTTTAACCACTTGCCTACTGGGCACTTATACCTCCTTCCTGCCCATGCCAATTTTCAGCTTTCAACGCTGTCACACTTTTGCACAATCGCACGGTCATGCAACACTGTACTCCTATGAAATTTTTATAATTTTTTTTTTTTTTTTTTTTTTTTTTTTTAGACCGAGCTTTCTTTTGGTAGTAACCGCTCTTGTCACATTTAATCACCTCCTGGGTTTTTTTTTTTTTTTTTTTTTGCTAAAGAAACCAAAAACAACTGAAAATTAAAAAAAAACAATTTTTTTTTATTTTTTCTATTAAAATTTTGTAAATAAGTGATTTTTCTCCTTCACTGATGTGCGCTAATGAGACTGCACTGATGAGAAAGCACTGATGGGCATTGACAGGCATCACTGATGGGCACTGAAAGGCAACACTCATATATGGCACTGACTGGCATTGATAGGTGGCACTGAAAGGCAGCTCAGATAGGCACTATGTGGCACTGATGGGCACTGGCAGGTGGCATTGATGAGCACTGATGGACACTGACAGCTGGCACTGCTGGGGCTACACTGATCATCAGGGCACACTGATTGTCAGTGCCCTGATGATCAGTGTACATGTCCCCTCTGAAGAATGCCGATTTACTGGCTCTCCTCTCGAGCTGTCAGCGTGACAGCTTGCGAGGAGAGAAATGCCGATAACCGGCATTTCCTTATATACATGCGATCAGCTGTGATTGGACACAGCTGATCACATGACCAAACTGACGTCTTCGGCTCTTCACCGATCGCCTTGCTGTGCACCTCCGGAACCGTGCACGCGCGGTTCGAGGGGGAGGACGTCATATGTCGTCCTCCCAGAACAAGAGAACCGCCTTGTGCTCGTCATTTCCTTAAATGGCGGGTGGGAGGCGGTTAAAGCAATCCACTGAGCTGGCCAGAACCAACTCTTGAGGGAGTCTATTCTACATTTTCACAGCTCTTACTGTGAAGAAACCTTTCCATGTTTGGAGATTAAATTTATTTTCCTCCAGACGTAAAGCGTGCCCCCTTGTCCTCTGTGTTGACCTCAGGGAGAATAACGCTACACCGAGTTCACTATATGAACCACTGATGTATTTATACATGTTGATCATATCCCCCCTTAATCTCCTCTTCTCAAGAGAGAATAAATTCAGTTCCTCTAATCTTTCCTCATAGCTGATCTCCTCCATGCCTCTTATCAGTTTGGTTGCCCTTCTCTGTACCTTCTCCAGTTCCCCAATGTTCTTTTTGTGAATTGGTGCCCAAAACTAAACTGCATATTCCATATGAGGTCTTACTAATGATTTGTACCGGGGTAATATGATATCTCTCTCTCTGGAGTCTATACCTCTTTTAATACAAGAGAGGATTTTGCTCACTTTAGAAACTGAAGCTTGGCATTGCATGCCATTAAGCTTGTGATCTACCAGAACTATCAGATCCTTCTCCACCATTGATTCCCCCAGTTGTACCCCCCCCTAGTATGTATGATGCATATTCTTAGCCCCCAAGTGCATAACCTTACATTTATCAACATTAAACCTCATTTGCCACATAGTTGCCCAATTATACAGTGCATTGAGGTCGGCTTGTAAATTGAAGACCTCGGTAAGAACGTTATTCCACTGCACAGCTTGGTGTCATCTGCAAAGACTGAAATGGGATTTTTAATCCCAGACCCTATATCGTTTATAAATATATTAAAAAGTAAGGGTCCCAACACTGAACCTTGGGGTACACCACTAATGACCCCAGACCATTCAGAGTATGAATCATTAACCACTACTCTCTGAATACGATCTTTTAGCCAGTTTTCTATCCGTTTACCTACAGATTTTTCCAAGCCCATAGACTTTACCTTACACATTAGCCATGTGTGGGGAACTGTGTGAAACGCTTTTGCAAAATCCAAGTATACCACGTCCACCGCCACCCCTCTGTCCAAGTGTATCCTGTCCACCGCCACCCCTCTGTCCAAGTGTGCCACGTCCACCGCCACCCCTCTGTCCAAGTGTGCCACGTCCACCGCCACCCCTCTGTCCAAGGTTTTGCTCACCTCATAAAAAGAAATCAGATTTGTTTGACAACTTCTTCTGTTTTTCATGAATCCATGCTGTCTGTTGCTTAAAATATATTTTTTCCAGCAAGAACTCATCTATGTGGTCTTTCAGTAAACTCTCCAGTATCTCCCCAACTATAGAAATTAAACTAACAGGTCTATAATTACTTGGTAAAGATTTTGACCCCTTTTAAAATATTGGCACCGCATTGGCCTTATGCCAATCCAGTGGTACTATGCCAGTCATTAAAGAGTCCCTAAAAATTAGAAACAATGGATTTGAAATGACAGAGCTCAATTCTTTAACCATTTGCCGTCCGCCTGCTGTTTATAAACGGCAGGGTGGTGGCACTCCAGGGGCGGGTTGCCGGTCATAAACGGCACCCGCCATTTCTAGCTGTGCGCGCTCCCTGGGAGCACGCAGCACCGCGATCCGGTGTCCGTGAAACACTGTGGAAAAAAATCAGTGAAACACTGATCGTCGGACAGGACCTCTGTACGAGGTCCCGATCATGTGATCACTGATGGCCAATCAGTGGTCACATGCAAAGTAGTAAGCAAGATGTCACTTCTGACATTGCTTACTACGTGTGAAATCTGTGAATGATCAGAGGTCACATGGTACAAGGCTATTCACAACAGCCTTGTACCATGTGACAAGCTGTTACCAATCACAGCTCACTCAGTATTTCTCAATGGCTGCAAGAATGCAGACAGAGAGAAAGAGAAATGATTGCTTTTACATCCTATATGGGGTGTAAAAGCAATCTCTGTAAAAAAAAAAAAAAAATCTTCATCCCCCCCCCTTCCCCACAAGTAGTACAGTGTCACCATGGTGACACTGTACTGCTAAGGTGACAGTATGTTAAAAACATTTAATAATAATATAAAAATGTTTAAAAATTATAATTTTTGGTTTTAAACTAATTTTTGGCTTTTTTTTTTTTTTTTTTACTAAAAATATAATGGAATACATTTTGGCCAAGATTTATGATGAAAGATTATTTATTTGCAAAATTTTATAAGAGTTTTTTTCAAAATTTTTGGACTTTTTCATTTAAAAAAAAATAAAAAATCCCAGCGGTGAATAAATACCACCAAAATAAAGCTTTATCTGTCTCAAAAAAATGGTAAAAAATTCATATGGGTACAGTATTGCATGACCGCGCAATTGTCATTCAAAGTGTGATAGCGCTGAAAGCTGAAAATTGCCCTGGACAGGAAGGGGGTGAAAGTGTCCGGACAGGAAGTGGTTAAGGACCCATGGGTGTATGCCATCCGGTCCAGATGCTTTATTCACATTTTTTATACTGTCTAAATATTTTTGGATCATATTAATTGTGAGCCAATGTGGATCATCTGGAGCTGTGTCAATACCATGCCCATTATGGACAAAGAGCTCCCTCATGCTCCTTTGTATACACAGAGCTGAAGATATTTAATAAATTTGCCTTCTCTTTGTCTCCAGTCACCCACTCTAGATTATTTTGTAAAGGGCCTACATGCTCGGACCGGACCTTTTTACTATTAATATATTTGAAGCATTTTTTGGGGGTTGGTCCTGCTCTTTTGCAATCTGTCGTTTTTTTGTTTTCAATTTTTGCGGCCTTTTTTCCTTTTTGCATATTCTGTTATTTTTTTGTAATGTTTAAACGATGATAGCGTTCCTTCATTTTTATATTTAATAAAAGCTCTTTTCTTATCTATATAGCTTTTTTGACTTTGACCATAAGCCACATAGGTTTGATTTTTAGCCTTTTAACCACTTCAAGTCTGGACACTTTCATCCCTTCCTGTCCAGGCCAATTTTCAGCTTTCGGTGCCATCACACTTTGAATAACAATTGCGCGGTCATGCAACACTGTACCCATATGAATTTTTTAGCATTTTTTTTTTTTTAGACAGATAAAACTTTTATTTTGGTGGTATTTATTCACCACTGGGATTTTTTTTATTTTTTTATTTTTTTTTTGCTATATAAATAAAATAGTCCAAAATTTTTGAAAAAAAGTGTTTTTTCTTATAAAATTTTGCAAAAATAAATAATATTTCTTCATACATCTTGGACAAAATTTATTCAGTTATCCTTTTTAGTTAAAAAAAAAAAAAAAAAAATTGTTTTTTAACCAAAAATTATATTTTTTCAAAAACAATTTTCTTACATTTTAATTTTTTTTTTTAATATTTTTTATTTTTTACACTGATTGCTTTTACACCCATAAAGGCTGTAAAAGCAATAATTTTCTCCTCTCTGTCTGCATTCTTGCAGCCATTGAGAAAAAATGTGTGAGCTGTGATTGGTCATAACTTGTCACATGGTACAAGGCTGTTGTGAATAGCCTTGTACCATGTGATCATTCATAGATTTCACTAGTAGTAAGCAATGATGTCAGGAAGTGACATCTTGTTTACTACTGTTCCTGTGATCACTGATTACCCAATCAGTGATCACATGATCGGGACCTCACATAGAGGTCCCGTACAGCGATTGGCAGCCCACACAAGCAGGGAAGCGGGAAGATGTTTATAAACGGCAACCCGCCCCTTCAGTGATCCTGTCCGGCCGTTTATGTACATGGGCCAGACGGGAAGTGGTTAAACTTGTTGCCAATGGGAACATATTTTGCAGTGTTTTCATACAGACTTTTTGAAGCACTCCCATTTCTCTGTTGTGTTCATTGATGCCAATATTCCCTCCCAGTCTAAGTCTTGGAGAGCAGCTCTCATCCTTGGAAAATTAGCTCCTAAAATTGAGCATTTTTATTTTTCTCGTATGTGCTTGCTGTTTACAGCTAACAATAAATGAAATCATGTTATGGTCACTGCTACCTAGATTTTCTGTTCTATGAAAAACAGTAATAAGCTCTACATGGTTTGAGATTACCAGGTCCAGCAGAGCAACATTCCTAGTTGGGGCCTCTATGAAATACAATATAATTGCCCTGTAATCGGTTTATAAGTTTTTGCCCTTTTTACCAGGAAATGGACTGGGGGGTAATGGCACTGCAGGAACAGTTAGTCTCCAACTCCTCTTTAACACTCGGTGTAATAAACATTACAAATGGCAGGAATGCTGCAGAAATAAAGTTTGCCCCACATTGTTTGTTTTATTTATTCATTCTTTGTAAAGAAAACCTGTACTGACAGAATGTTAAGTATGCCATGGCTGAGATAGATTAGATATTATATTTTTATATGGCAGTTGTCTGACTGCCATGTAGATCCAATTACTTTAGAACTCTGTCATGAACACACAATATGTGTGCAGATTAGGATCCCTGCTTTCATTCTGACTTTCTAATATTGCACTGTAGCAAGCAGGAATGTTATTAAAACCAGATGTGCCAGGCAAACAGTATTTTCAAAAGAGATCTTCATGTGCTGAGACATTTCACTCCTCAGAGCGACTTAAAACAGCAATGATGTTTTAATATAAGCACACAGCATTTACAAAGTAATCTTGCCAAAAAGGTACCAAGTGTAAATCCAAGCAAACATAACTTTTTTTATTTGTTGGGCAGACAGCAGAAAATGAATAAAACACACATTATGAATACACAAGGGAGGAGATTTACTAAAACTGAAGCATTCAGAATCTGGTGCAGCTGTGCATGGTAGTCAAAATTGAAGGAACGCTATAATTGTTTAAACATTACAAAGAATATAACAGAATATGCAAAAAGGAAATAAATAATATAAAGCTTGCAAGCTGCTACATAAGGTTCCTTCATTGACTAATATCCAACAGTAAATAAAAAAAAAAACTAATATAATTATTTGAGACCTCCCTGAAGAATTCCCGTGGTGATGAAACACGTACATTTGTGACCTTGGATGCTGAAATGATGCTCGTCGAAGGTGGAAGTGTAGTAACCATAATGTTGCATGGGGCAATAATGCACAAGATTGTCACATCTCTGTATGCTAGCTGTACATATTTAGTGATTCTTTTATAAAGTATAAATCACTCTTTTAAGTGTTTCTATTTACATGATATGGAGTGGAGGTAAAGAGGCAGATGATTATATAGCTGTGGAGATTTACATCGGCAGTATCCAGGAATTTGTCATGGTCCATTTGAGGTGCAAAAGCGCATTTTGACCAAACTATTGTGAGGTTAAAATAGGAAGGTGAGAGTACCGCCAGTGGCTTTTATGCATGCAGCACATTTGAATGTAAATCTGAATGCAGAAGGTGGCTTAAATTTAAAGGCAAAGGACACTTTTTATTAACAATTGCAAAGGACTTTTGATTATTAATTTGTCATATATACATTTAGGTTTTTGATGTATGGTTTATGGTATAAGACCTAATAGGATTTGAAGCTAGCACTGCACTATCTTATACTTTTTTTTGTAAATTTATTTATTTCAGGTACTTGTATAGCGCCGTCAATTTTTCGCAGCGCTTTACACATCTATATTGTACATTCACATCAGTCCCTAACCCTCAAGGGGTGTACAATCTAAGGTCCCTAACTCACATTCATACATACACATATTCAATGTTGGCTGTAAACAAGAAGCACCTACCGGAAAGATAAAAACACTTAACTTTAAAAGAGCAGTGTTTCAAAGGATGAGGGTTGCTCTCCAAGACCTAGACTGGGAGGAAATATTTGCATCGATGAACAGAAATGTTTTCTCAAGCGTTTTTGAGCTTCGAGTTTCAAGCTACAAATTGCCTAGTGTGAAAATGTGAAATAGACTCCCTCAAAAGCTGGTTCTGGCCAGCTTAGTAGATTTTGTTTTTAAAAAGGCGTGGATTATATCCTAGATGAATATAATATACTGTAACTGGATACTAATATTTATAGGTAAAGTTTTATCCAAGGAATATCTGATTCGCCTCTTGGGGGATCAGGAAGGATTTTTTTGCTCCCGAGCAAATTGGATCTTGCTTTATTGGGGTTTTTTGCCTTCCTTTTTGGATCAACTGTGGGTATAGGATAGTGTATATGGAGGTTTTGTGTGTGTGTGTGGTGTCCTGAGGTTTTTTTTTTTTTTTTTTTTTTTCTGCAACCAGATTAACTTCATAACTATATATACTGTAAATATCCATGTACATCTGAATACCCAAGGTAAATGATACAGGTAGTCGCTGACCATTCAGAGATGGCCACTTGGCATAGTGACCATTCCTGCCTCTCAGTCGTTCCTAGTTGTCTGGCTCCTTCTAAAAATTAGCAATTAGGGCAAACCTCTCTTTCTCCACTTTGTATTTCAATGGTTTTTATTCATTTTAACACCCTAGCAACAAATCACGCCCACGGAGGGGCTATCAATTGCACATAAAAAATTAGAAAAAACCGTGCTCGAACGCCAACAGAGCAAAAGGTACACCCACGCAGGGGCTATCAATGGCATTTAAATGACAAAACATTAGTATAACACTGATAGTAACTCAAACTAAAGGCAGCTATCCACTGCCACACCAAAAACAAAAAAAAAAGAAAAGGGAGGAGTACAAAAGAAAAAAGATAACCAAACCAAGAGCAGGGGTCCAAGAACGCCAATACCGAACAACATCACATCCCCAGACTAGCCCGGGGGAGCGTGGGAAAGGCATATTGCAACCATGGCTCCCATATTTTCAAGAATTTACATTTGGAGTCGTTGCAGATACTCGATATCTGTTCATTGAGCATCATAGTGGTCATACGGTCCCGCACCCCCTGAAGAAGGACAAACGGGCTCTTCCAGGCCTAAGCAATTGTTCTAGTGGCCGACAAAAACAAATAGGAAGCCAACTTCTGCTGATGAGCCAAGAGGCCCGGTATGGGACAATGAAGCAAAGCATACCGAGCATCCCGGCGTATGGAGAGATGGAACAAGGTGAAAAGGAGGCCACACATGAGATCAAAAACGAAACAGTCTCGGGCATGATCACCAGATATGAAATACATCACCACAATGGCCACAACCCCGACAGCATCGATCGCTGCAGGCAGGGTTTGCCTGGGCCAAAAGAGCCGGAACCCAATACATCCTTCGCCACTTTGATCATCCTACAATTGTGTAGAAGCATGGCAGAGAGATTCTGGAACCTAATGGGACTCCCCTATACAAAGCACTTATGATTTTGTACTTTTGCTGGAAATCTAACCAGCGCACTGAGAAAGTGTAGCAGTGACTAAAAAGTAGAAAACGTGCTGTGTGAATATTTGTTTCAAAGCATTGAATGTTATTACAGGGTGAATGTCAAAGATGCTGTAGCTTTCATGTATATGTGGTTTGACAGCAAGTTTTCCAAGTTTATTCCTAGCATAATAATAAACTGACTGCTAGAGCACACACATATTTGATTATACTGTGCAGCAGATTCAATTAGATAATGCTTGGTTTTTTTTGTGTGTGTGTGTGTGTGTGTGTGTGTGTGTGTGTGTGTGTGTGTGTGTGTGTTGTTTTATAATTTTATTTTTTTTTCCCCTGTTTTTAGAGGGCTACAACAGTGAACCACCATCAAATCTTGGCAAGGATTTACTGTCTTTATACAAAAGTTCTCATTGCACTGATGTCATTATACAGATAGAAGACAAATGTTTCCGTGCACACAGGTAATGAGGTGGGAGGGGTCACATTTTGCATCATGCTGTTGACAATATGGTAAGCATACATTACCTTGCAGTTTAACTCCAAGCAACCAGATAAATATACAGTTGCCTGCCAAAAATGTATAATTCTAACCAGATAAATTTATCAAGTCACCCATGCCAAGTGCCTGACCTTCAAGGCAGCTGGGCAATACAGTTTGGTTAAGAAACTTCGTTCAGCATAATGACTGGACAGTGAAAGAGTAGTAGCTCATTGATGAGATTGTTGGCCATACTTCTCTTCTGGGTCACAAGACTGCATTTACTGTTGATCTCCTGTGGCCCAGAATCACCTTTGGTTAAAGATCCACTTCAGGCTCTGAGAGGATCTCAACCATATTGTCAGGAAGCACCCAGCTATCTGAGACGGCTGAAGCCAGCTATACCCACTGCCTCTCCTGCCTGGCACTCCAGTGGCGGCAGGGGAAGAGTGGAGAGCAATGACTGACAGTCCCGCTGTTCATTCCGAAAAGACCAAGAACTGAACGATCAGCAGTTTTGTGATCTCTCAGCTCTTAGTCTTAGAGCCGGCAAGGAAAGCTGCAGCATCACACCGATGTTGCAGCATCACGGTGAGTGGATATTTTTTTTTATCAACACCAAACTTTTTTGGGTGGATAGAAGAATCTGTTCCCCCCTCAATATCGGTGTATGACCAGCTTTAGAGTAGTGCTCTTTCTGTTATACTCTTTATGCTGCTGTACCTGAAATTATAGCAAGTCTGTATAATGATGGTGCTTAAGATGAGTTTTTAAAATGCATTTAATGAATATATCTGGAATAAGTTTCCTTGATTGTTTTGTTTGTTTGGAGTTTAACTAGAAGGAAATAGCATTTTATTACTTTTTCAAGATATTTCAGCATGTCATAGATATGATTACAATATACTGGGCTGCAGGTTGTCACATTTTTCTGATTTTCTACAACTACAGGCCTCCTCACTAAGCCTCCCTTAGTTGAAAAATTCAAATGGGGTGCTGCGTAGTTATATTTATTTTTTTGTAATGTAGAATTGTGCCGTACATTTTAATAATAAGCATGTGCTTATGTTCTCTTGGTCCTGAGAAATGTGTAGAGGAGAGTGAGGATGTGCAGATGCTCACCTAACTCCAGACTATGCTGCATGGTTTCAAGGGTTATGTGCAGAAGAATTTCTTAATTCTATTACTACCAAAACCAAAAGTAGCACAGGTGGTTAAAGGTGAATATTGCAGTCAGAGCTATGTGGTGGTTTTTTTTTTTTTTTTTTTTTTGCTTAAACAGTCATTTATGACCTGGGGGGTTGGGCTTTAAGTCTGTGCGTTAAGGAGTATCTGTAACTAGTTTAAATTCCGTTCCCCATTGAAGCATAGTTTTACAATCGTGCCAACATTTTTCCACCCCCAGTGTACACTAGCTCCATTCTGCACTGTAATAAAAGTAGTTCACTAAGAAGATTTGCCATAGGAACTCCTCCATCTTTAGCTAACATTTTTCTTCTTAAACCTATTAAAACCATGGCTACCGTTGAATAAATTTAGGCATTCTTGTGAATGATCCTTTTCCAGTTTGCAACAAAATATTCAAAATGCTATACCACTTTTTTTTTTTTTTTTTTTGTTTTCATAGCTTAAAATACAAAATGTAGGGCGTGTCCAAGATGGCGACCGGAGCGGCCGCATAATCCGGAGCTCCGGTGCCGAGCTTTTAAATCCGCTGCCATCCGTGCGGCAGCGGATCACGGAGTGACGGCGGAGGACCCGGGTAGTATCCCCGATCCCGGGGAGTCGGAACCCGGGTGATATTTCCGCCCCTCGTGGCGGCTGACGTCCGCGGCCTGGTGCGGCCGCGTGGGCCGAGGCTCCGGCCACCCATCAACTCTCCCATCCGCACCTGCTGCCATCCGGGCTGTGTGAGATCGCCTGGGGATATCCGCGGCGCCCTCTGCATTGCTGGGACTGGGGGAGAGACGCCGCTGAGAGCCTTGCTGCTTCCCGCGGTGGCGGCGGCCTACATCACCGGTCTGGAGCCTCCATCTGGTCACAGTGAGTGGGGGATGCGGGTGCCCTCTTATTATTAGCTCCCCCCACAGTGACCTGGGAGTGGGCCTCACTTTGCTGACCCCGGAGCCTGCCATCTCCTGTAACCACAGCCCCTGTTGGGCTCAGAGGCCTACTGGGGCCTTAATATTGCCCCGTGGAGTGTCTCCCTGGAGGGCCCTGTGCTTGGTGTTGGAGGTCCTCTGCTTCCCACTTGTCCCTCTTGTGTCCTAGGTTGGGATCTGGTGCCATCATCCTGCTCCGGTGTGCTATATCTGCGTGTTACTGTGATCTATGTCCTCTCTACCCTTTCATGACTTGCTAATTATCTTTACAATATAATGTTCTCGCAGATGAATCTAACCGCATTCATGTAACTACAACCCTAAACCTATTTTGGGCGTTATAGGTCCCCTGGGGTTATAATCTCCATTCATTATCCTATTTTCAGTTGATCACCCCCAGGAGACTCCCTGTATGTCCACAAAGAAAAAAAAGGGACAAGCCCAGAAGTCCCTCACGACATACCTACTTAAGGCACACGAGCTTTGTAACATGTCTCCAGTCAATACAGAGCGAGCATCCCTGTCCGATCCCACACAGGATACCACTGCTCCCTTATCGGCCTTGGTCAGTGAAAATACACAGCAACTTACAAAAGGAGACTTGGAGTCCTGCTTGGAATCTATGTACGCCAAACTAGCCGCCAAATTTCAATCAGAATTGCATAAAAGCACTAATGTTCTCTCTCAGGAAATAGCCACGCTGGGCTCCAGGACAGACCGCTTAGAAACCAAACACGATGAACTTAGCCTGGCCTATGGTGAACTTTCCAGAGAGCATGATCATTTACAAACGGCCTTTTTTCAACTACAGGCGCAGGTGGAGGACCTTGATAATCGCAATCGCAGGAATAATCTGCGAATCAGGGGAATCCCGGAGTCTATGTCTGACCTCTCCTTAATCGTGACCAAATTATTTCAATCACTCCTCCCGGATCGTGACCCTGGGTCTTTTGCCTGTGACCGCATCCATAGAGCCCTGCGCCCTAAACCTCCTACTGACAAGCCACCTAGGGATATTGTCCTGTGCATGAGGGACTTTTTGACCAAAGAGGAAATGCTCAGAGCTGCTCGCAATACCCCTACGATCTCCTTTGAAGGCTCGGTCTTACAAATCTTTCCGGATGTTTCCCCGGCCACGTTGGAGAAGCGTAGAAAAATGAAAGACGTCACAACGGTCCTGTTCTCAGCTCGTATTCGCTACAAATGGGGCTTTCCCTTTAAGTTGATTGTTCCACATAATGGGAGCACATATATAGCTACATCTCCTTCTGAAGGTAGAGCAATCTTGGCCAAACTGGGCCTAGCGGATGCCCCATCACCTCAACGTCCACCCTCCACCCCTCGTGTCTCTCCCATTTGGCATACCCCATCTCCACGGAGAGATAGAAGAGAGTCAGACAGGATCCGGGTTGATAGGTCCATTCTCACTTGCCTATTACCTATTGTTTGACAGTCCTTGGTCTTGCCTATTGTCTTTTATGACTTTACCGAGAATTGAGACACAGGGATTTTGTTTCTTACATCTTACGCTGTCAGGATGTGTATGTCTATGGTTACTGCTATGTTAATTTTATAATCCTGAGTAATGTGTGTGTCTTGCATTGATAGCTGGACGAGTTAAGGTATAACAAGGGTCTTTGGTCCCTTTTAATTGCGCCCATTGGTTTATGGTTCCACAACTCTTTGACACGTTACCCCACCCTGCCTCCTGACATGGCCGGAAGTGTCGCCGCCCGATTGAGGGGTGGCAGTTCCGTTTTCCATGTTTTAGGGAGACAGGGTTTGGGCCCATTTGGGCCCCTTAATATTTGAACTTTTTGTTTTATCAGGTATGACAAATTTTCAGCCTGATCCATGTTCTTTAGTTACCTTATTTGTAGGAGCTCTTCAAATCTCCTCTATTGTTTTTTGTCTTCTTTTTTTTTCAACACTTTAGTGCATGAGGATGGTGTTGTGTCGGTCTGTGGACATCATGGCCCCCATCTTGGGGCCGGGAGGTCCCCTGGGCTGGTTCTGCCACCTGTACGTCTGTCTGCTATAGACCTGTGGATTTCTATGTCTAGCCAATTAATTTTAGGGGATATCCTTGTAATGTGTACTCTTATGATGATAGTAATAAGCTCTGTTTACTATGGTAATTCAATGTATTTCGCATAATGTCCAGGGTTTCAATTCGCCAAACAAGCGCAAAACGGCCTTTCTTCAATATAAACGACTGGGAGCCAAGATTATCTTATTACAGGAAACACATTTTGCAGCTGCAAAACACCCGACATATTTTCATAGATCTTATAGGCAGGGGTATTATACCCTGCATTCCTCCAAGAGTAGGGGCGTAGCCATCTTTCTACATAACTCATTCCCCTTTGAGGTTCAACATGTGTATCGTGATCCGGACAGTAGGTTTATCATTCTTAAAGGCACCCTTTCAGGTCGAGAACTTACTATTGCTAATGTATATGCACCGAATTCAGCACAAGCTACCTTTTTTTCAAAATTTTTTGGTACTCTGGATAGGTTTTTGTCTCCTCATCTCTTGGTGGGTGGGGATTTTAATCTGGTGGCAAATCCTCTTTTGGACCGTATTTCCCCCTCGCATTCTTCCCAGGCTTTCCCAAAATCCCTTACTAAGAAATTAGATACCCTCCAGTTGGTGGATGCCTGGAGAGCGCACAACACCGGAGCCAGGGATTACACATTTTATTCCCACCCACATGACTCTTATGCTAGATTAGACTATATATATTGTACCCCAATTTTACTAGCTAATTCTAAGGTAGCTTGCATTCATTTGAGCCCCTGGTCGGATCACAGTATTGTGGCCTTATCTATCACATTTGTGGGATTGGCACCTACTCCCTTCTCTTGGAGACTTAATGAC